TCGCGATGATATGCGACTAAACATGGACACGTTTGGAACTTCGTTCGCCCGAGTTGGTGGCAATTCGTATCGTCCCCCACAAAGGTATCAACATAATTACCAGAGTGGTGGTAATTTCTCGTACTCTGGTCAGCGGAGGTACAACTGGCCGTCTGATCGCTCGAGGTATAGGCAGCAACCAAATGTGCATTGCGCTGAACTTGACCCACCATGATTTTCGTCACTCTAATTTTTTTTCTTGTAAATATGTTCGCATTTATTTTTTTTAACTTATGTACATCTTCAATTGTCCATATCAATGATTTGTCAGCTATATTTGCTTTGTTTTGATCTTTCAAGTTCACTATACTAAGTTAATCCACAGCTTCCATAATCGAAACACATACCACGTCTGCTGGCATTTTGAACATGTCTGTGAGAGATACGTGCCGAATGACCTTAGCGTGTCCTTTAAAGTATGACTTCGAGTGACACCTGATTCGCGGTTCGTTGACTTTGCCACTAGACGGTCTTGACAGACATTCAGTCTGTGGAACACATTTATGCGAGTTGCGAGTTAGACTGTTGATCATACGGGGGATGCTGTACTAGTGTTTGCGTTCAGACAATTACTTGTAGGGTCTCTTGTGTCCCCACGGAAAGCTTTCAACTTTGAAAAATGGTGTGGGGACCTGGTAATACAAGCGGTGTTCCTCCTCCGGGAACAGTCAGTGGTTGTTTGTCGAGAATCTCACTTGTTCTTTTTTATTCAGTAGGAGGGTTGTGCTGTCTTACTCGTTTCCCATGACTTTACTTAGGATCATACTGTACATGGTTCATATTCTGATGTGTCTGCTGTGTGCTCTAAGGACTCTGGCCCTCGTTATTCGTACATTCCAGTATTTTCCAACCGTGCATTGTGCGTGCGAAGACATTCGAGATGACTGAAACTTCCTGTAGGCCTGTAAGGCGTACGGAGGCTTGCAGTCACAGTCGGTGCGTGGGTGGTGTCGCCCCCATTCGACATTTTGTAGGACTTCAGCCTGGTAGCACAGACCTTGTTGTACTAGCTTACTCCCTTAAACTAGTTTTCCAGCAATACATGCTATAAATTTTTTAAGAAAGATGAAGGAATAAAGAATAAAGATGAAGGTATACAATTTTTAAGAAAGATGAAGGAATTCGGCGACTTTGTCTGGGCGAAGCCATA